ATATATTTTATAATGTCATAGTTTCACATTTATTTGTTTTATCATATGAATATTTTTTATGTGTATTTTTTGTTTCACTAAGTAAATCAAAATAAAATTTCATATACAATTTTTTTTTCTTCATAACGTAAACATAAACATATATAAAACAATATGTTAAATCATAGATTTTAACAAAAAAATAATATAAAAAATATTTTTATATTGGTTTTATTTAAATTTGTATTTTATATATATATATATATATATTATGTGTATATATTGTTTTTGAATTGAGAATCCAATAACTATATATATATATATAAAAGGTATATTTCAAATGTAATCATGTCCATTTGTACAACCAATGCAACTTAATTAATTAGGATATTTATAAAACTGATTAGAATTAATTTATTATGATTTGAATATTTATAGAAGATGGTTAGAGTTCGTTAATTATGATCAATACTTTATATTCGAAAAGGGCAAATTGCATGAAAAAATAACGTACTTTAACTTGATTCCTATTTTGGGTAACGTACTTTCAAAACTTTCATTTGGGTACCTAAGATGTAAAATTTTAAACATTTAAGTACCCGGGTAACCCAGTGAAGACTAATTTTAGACTAAAAAAAGACTAATTTTAGATTTAAAAAAATCCACGTCATTGACCAGGTCAACAAATAATACCGAGTTGGATACCACATCACTCGACACATCAGCATGATAATCGGTTAATACTTCAACCAGTTATCCGGGTACTTAAATGTTTAAAACTTTACATCTTAAATACCAAAATGAAAGTTTTGAAAGTACGTTACCCAAAATAGGAATCAAGTTAAAGTACATTACTTTTTCATGCAATTTGCCCATTAGAAAATAATCAAAACTTTTATAAAATCACATATTCATCAAATTAAATGGACGATCAAAACAATTTGCCCTCTCTCACCTCTCTCTCTCTTCCTCTCTCTCTCTCTACATGTATATTATATATATATTTATATATTATATTATGTGTATATATTGTTTTTGAACTGAGAATCCAATAATTTTGAAACTGAAACTTGAAATCGACCATTGAGGGAACATAACAGCATACCAGCCACATGTTACCATCAATCATCACATCACTTGTTAATCCCCCATTTTCATCTTCTTAATTCTTCACCCCCACAATCTTACTCCTCATTTGCTCAAGTTTCTTCAAATTTGTTTTAATGGCGTTTAAGCACCTCACCTCGCTGATGGTCATTTTTTGTGGGTGTTAAGTCCCAAGCTCTTGCCACCTCCCTCTTGTTTCTTTCGCTCGTCTAATCGTCATTTCCTGCTTTGTTTGTTTTCTAACACCCTTGTCGCTTTCTTCTTCTTCTTCTTCTTCTACTCGTTCGTTTTCTCTTTCATCACCTGTCTTCCTCTTCAAACTTCTTTTTTCATATGGTTTTAAGAGCATCCCAACTTTGCGCCTCGGGGTCGTTGGTTTCCGCAAGTTGTCAGATCCCCATTGCTGTTTTATGATCTAAAGTGCCGAATCTATTGAACAAACTGTCGGATTGTTTGCTGCTCTAGTCATGATTTTTCTGGTTTAAGCTTATTTTGTGCGTTTAATGTGTTTGTTTTTATGTCAACATGAACTTTGCCTTATGCCGAGACCTTTTTATTTTTTATTTTTTATGTTTGATTGATTTTCAGGTGGAACCCTTTGGCACATCAAGCTAATAGATAGTTGTTTATATAAAGTAAAAATCAAATAATTCCACATTCAAATAGAACATAGAAAGCACCAATATGTTGTGTGCTTGTTCGGGAGAGCAATTTAAGGTAGAAGAGCCCATTTCTCGTTCACCAGAGTCATTGGCTACGAGGGATTTCTCAGCCAGTGGTATTTCTTCTCGAACCGGCACTGGAGATTGGGATTCGAAATTCGAAGATGCCCAGGTGGATGAAGCTGAATCTACTCTTAAAGAAGCCCTCTCTTTGAACTATGAGGTGAAAATTAATATGTTTTGGAATTTCTGATACATTCTGTTAGATTGTTTTTTGTCAATTCTTGTGTGGCATTGAATTAAATTGTTTACATTATGGATTGCCATGTTATATGCAAATGAAGGAAGCCAGAGCTTTGTTGGGTAGACTTGAGTACCAGAGGGGCAATTTTGATGCAGCCCTTCAAGTTTTTTATGGCATCGACATCAAAAGTTTGTCACCGAGGATGATTAAGGCGATCAGTGACAGAGCCATAGAACGGAATTCAAAGTCCAAAAGGGAAAATGCCGTGGTTGGTGTGATGTCTCTGCATTCGGTGAGCCTGCTTCTTGAAGCAATATTGCTTAAAGCAAAATCACTGCAGGAGATGGGCAGATTTAAAGGTAGAATATGCATCTTTTGTTATCTCAAGGAGGTAGCTCAATGGTTTGATGCTTTTACTTGTGATAGCAGTTTTACCTTTTTGAGAAATTGTTCCATGGGTATTCTGAAATAAGGAATTAAATAACAGAAAATGTTCCATGGGTATTCTAGAGACTTGTAATGCCTTCCAACACAAAGTAGCAGATTTCATAACGAATGCTTGCTTTGAGTATGATAATGATACTAAAGATTTACCAACAGATCGAATGGGGAATATCAATACACAATTGAATGTAGATAGATGGTCTGTGGATGGGCTCAAGTGTTCTTTGTGCTCATAGATCATAATAATTATTGTCTGTTGAATTTGATTGTGTTGTTTTCCAGAAGCTGCAAAGGAGTGCAAGATGATTTTGGACATAGTTGAATCGGCATTGCCTAATGGAATTCCTGAGTGCATTGCTGAAGACTGCAAATTGCAGGAAATGTTTCACAAAGCATTAGAATTGCTTCCCAAGTTGTGGATAGAAGCTGGGCTTTTGAATGAAGCTATTATTGCATACAGGAGGGCTCTAGTCAAGCCTTGGAATTTGGACCCACAAAGGTTATCTAGCTTACAAAAGGACTTGGCTGCCATACTACTCTATGGGGGTGTTGAAGCAAGCCTTCCTCAGGCCAAACCATGGGACCCACCTTATCCTAAAAGCAACACTGAAGAAGCACTTCTTTTGCTGTTTATACTCATGGGAAAGGTATCATGTGGCGAAATAAAATGGGATCCTGAAATTATAAGCCATTTAACTTTTGCATTGTCAACGTGTGGCCAATTCGAGTGCTTGGCTGTTCATGTGGAGCAGCTTCTTCCTGGTGTGTATAAACGAACTGAGAGGTGGTTTTTCCTCGCTCTTTGTTACGGTGCTGCTGGTCAAGTTGAATCTGCGTTGAATATCCTAAAGAAAATTTCAGGGTCTTCTGAAGCAGAACAGAGACCCCATCTCCCTTCTCTTCTTTTGGGGGCAAAATTATGTTCCCAAGATCCTAATCATGCTCATGAAGGGATAAACTTTGCCCGTAAAGCAATTGAATTGGGTGATCATGAAAACCGGCATTTCCTAAGTATTGCTCATAAGTTTCTTGGAGTTTGTTACGGAAATGCAGCAAGAGTGTCCTTGTCAGATTCGGGAAGAGTGTTTTACCATGGAGAATCTATCAACTCCCTCAATAAAGCTGCTTCAATCGGACTTGATGATGATCCTGAAGTTATTTTCAATCTGGGATTGGAAAATGCGTTGCAAAGAAATCTGGATGCGGCATTTGGTCAGATGATGGTTTATTCTGATATGCTAGCTGGGAGCTCAGCAAAGGGTTTCAAGTTATTAGCTCTTGTAGTCTCCGCTGAGCAAAGATTTGAAGATGCCGAGACCATCGTTGACATTGCTTTGGATGAAACAGGAAGAATTGACCAATTGGAACTCCTTAGGTTGAAAGCAGTGCTTCAGATTGCTCAGGAACAGCCCAAACAAGCAATAGAAACCTACAGGATTTTACTAGCCCTGATTCAGGCACATGGCGAAATTCAAAAAGAAAACTTGGATTCTGAGGTATGAATGCTTTTATATGCTTATAAGCCAAGGGATCAAATCACATGGAGATATGTTTCTAGTTTTTTTTTTCCTTCCTGATAAAGAATCAAACCAAGAACTTATCTTTGATTGGCCTTTGATTTTTTTTTCCAATATTTATATGATTCAGAATTTAAGAGAGTGTTGATTATGGTTTGAACAGGCAACAGAGAGAAAACTGGAAATGGAAACATGGCTAGATTTAGCAAATATTTATACCAAACTTGGATCTTTATCTGATTCTGAAGTTTGTGTTAACAAAGCCAAGTCAAAGGAATTCTACTATCCTCGTGCTTGGCATTCGACAGGTTTGTGCATGATTTCATCATCTAGTTGTGTAATAACAAATCTAAATACACAAGCGCTTTTAAGTCCAAATTTCTGAGAGGTGACTACAGAAGAACGTATCCTGTCATAGAGGGCCCCTAGCATTCTTGATTATCAGAAACACATGATTGTTTGTCAAAGATCTGCAAACTAATCGATAAGCTAGCACTAGTCATGTTTGGTAGTAAAAGCTGGATGGTGATTAAAGTAACCTAAAAGGAATCGATGTTGAAAATTTAATTGGAAAAAAGTCCCAAGAGCTTATTGAAAGGCTACTTGAAGCAGCTTTTTAAGAAGCAAGCTTATCAAATGAGGCTTTTTCAATTAGCTTATGGTTGCCAAACAAGTGTCATATTTCTTTTCTATCTTTTTCGCTGTATATACAATATAACTCTCTGATCATTTTTTCATCTTGCAGGTTTGTTGTTTGAAGGTCAATCATTATACAAAGAAGCACTTGTTGCTTTCTCGATTTCACTGTCTATAGAACCGGATTATGTCCCAGGTATCATTTCAACGGCAGAAACATTAATGAAAATGGGTTCACTCCCAATTGCAAGAAGCTTCTTGATGAACACATTGCGGTTAGAACCCACGAACCATGATGCATGGTTTAACCTGGGTTTGATCTGCAAGAAGGAAGGTCTAATGCAGCAAGCTGCAGAGTTTTTCCAAGCTGCACATGAGCTCAAGTTATCAGCTCCAGTTCAGAGCTTTGTGTAGATTAGAATCTAGCAAACTGGTTGTTTAGTTGGATCTGTGAATAATCAGAAAAATATGTACATCCATTGATGAGGCAAGAAATGGCAGGTGCCTGTTTGATAGATCATCCAAGGGGCTGTTGACACTGAATGGTTAAGTTGTCTGGTTGCTGTTTACTTTTTCTTTTTCTTCCTGAATTAACAGGCTTCCGATTCATCCTTCAACATTAATTAAGTGCTGTTTATTTTTTTTAAGATGAAAGATATTTTTGAATGACAAAAACTACTTGAACATCAAAACATTGGTGCTTAAATTGAACATTAAGGGGCAGTTTACTAAACACTTGTTTGGTAAGTGTTTACCGGATAAATTTCCTTATCGGATGAACATGAAAAGGGCCAAGAATCTTACTGAATAAGAGCAATGAAAAGGATAGAGAGTCTTACCTGGTAAGTAAAGATGACTACTCTTGCTCAAGTAAGCACTTACCCAGTAACTTGTTGCATTCAATATGTTTTGATGTACTAAAATCTTATGTATCAAAATAAATTATAATGTTGAATTCTATCGGTAAGCAGTTACATGTAAACATTTGAGTAGATACTACTCGGACATCAAAATGATGATAAATTGTTGTAACTGATTGCTCATCATCTTTTAACTCTGATTTTATGATTCATCGGTGTTTAAACTGTTTGATAAAATGAGACTCGTTGTAAAGAGTTTGAAATAGACCAATTATGTAATGTGAAAGGTTGGATTTGGACTTGTTAACTACTACTTGTTTCATTTTATTTTGTTGTTATGTTACAAAAAATCAATTTCAATTATGAACATAATCTTAAGTGCATTCACACAAATGAATTTTACAAAATCTACCAACCAATTTTTAAAAATTGGAATTAATTCTTTGGGTAGGTATTTTTCCAAAAAAAGGTAAATTGTTTGGAAAAATGGTAGGTAAATTTTATGAAATATGAAATATATTTTAATAAAAAATATATTAAGTAGTACAAAATAAATATCATCGTTTCATATTTGACATGTTTTTTTATGTGAAACAAACATTAACATAGAGAGCAGACATATTCCACCACCACCTTATGAACAAGTTACAACAGACCTATATTTTACCAATCTAACATCAAAATAAAACTTAACTCTCTTTTAAAATATCAAATAACATCCATCTTTACATTTTATTTATTCCTTAATTTTTATTTATTATATTTTATGATTATTAAACTTTCACTTTAATGCTCTCAAAATGTTATTTTTATACGGTTTTCTATTATTTGGTTAATTTATGAAATTTATTAAATATTTTAAGAAAAAATAATATAGAAAAGATGTAAAATAAAAATTAAAAACTACAATTTTTTTTATTTCGCTGTCATTTTAATCGTCCTGATGAAAACTTTCTAATGATATATTTTTGTTATAACTTAATAAATTACATATATTAATCAAAATATATAAAAGATAAAAGCAACTCATTTGTCCAGTCCATTTCTGTCTTACCAAACGCTGAACACTGTTCTATCATGTTATGTTATGTTATGTTTTATCTTGTCATCTTCCGTCTAGCTTGTCTTGGTACCAAACGCACCTATATAGTTGATCGATCTCCAAAAGATGTTCCAGTGTAGATATACTAAAAGTTGGGTGAACCACATTATATCACAATCGGTTATAATTTGTCGTTATATGCTTCAAGTAAAGTCATATATACATTATGTACATTACCATTATCGAACAATTATCATATATGGTAAAAACTTATAATCAAGTTGTTACTAATTTATTTTTGTGATGAAACCTATTTATTAAGGATAATTAGAAACCGGAAAACAAATTCAATCCCTATTTATTGGGGATTATCATCATGGTTATAAATAATGCTACCCTTTTTAATTTAATTTAATTTAATAATGTTTTATTTAATATATTTATTAAATAAGATATATGACCCATATTATTTTTTTCGTATTCTTGCAAATTAGTTTACTTCTCGCGTACTCCCCTCCTCTCTCTTTATACACACACACACATAGTCATAGGTTCATTTGAGAAGTGGTAAATATTTGAGAAGTAGAGAAGTGATCCTAGCCCTTTATCTGGTCAAGATTTGTGGTATTGAATGTGAAGCACCAGATAATTTCTCGTATGGTATGTAAAAGATAGTGGAGTATTTTTGTAACTTTTACAGATAGGCGGCAAAACAAGTGCATATGTGAACCTGTGATTCATATATGAACTATATGTTCATATGTGAACCTGTGTAATTCGTATATAAATTAATTAACTGATTCACATATGAACGAATTAACTGATTAACATATGAACCCGTGTGATTCACATATGAACTATGGATTCACATATGCACTTATGGGTTCACGTATGCATTTGTTTTTTCGCCTATTTGTACAAATTATGAAACTATCCCTCTATTTTTCGCTTAACCAGTCAAAGCTACAAATCTTGACCAGTCAAAGCCGCAATTTTGACTAGTCAAAACAATAATTCTTGACCAATCTTGATCACTTATTTACTTCTAAAATGAACCTACTCCATATAAATTGAGATATTTATGGAAATGATGAGAGTTCATTTATTATGATTTGAATATTTATGGAAGATGAATATGGTTCGTTAATTATGATCAATACTTTATATTAAGAAATAATCAAAACTTCTATGAAATCACATATTAATCAAATGAAATGGACGGTTGAGATTGAGTTGTATTGGTTGCACAAATGTCATGGGTTGTATAATAACCAACCCCTCTCTCTCTCTCTCTCTCTATATATATATATATATATATATATATATATATATCAAAGTTCTAAATGACGTGAGGCGTGGCGTGGCGGCGAGGTCAAGCCTCAAGCCTTATGAGTTACTACGAAGCCATAACGTTTTTCAAGGCGTGATCAAAGGCGGCATGTGTACCTACACATTTGAATGTGTTAGTGTTTTGAATAATATTGTAGAACAAATGAAATTCATATAAAGTAATAAAACTAAAATATAAAGAAAAACCATTGATACCTTGTATAAATCTTAAGAAAAATGATATCAAGAGTGAAAAATCAGATTTAATCTCTCTACTCACTACTTTCTTCAATTTTCAAAGAATTAATGTTCAATGTTTCGTGCATGGGAATGTCAGTAAGTATTTACCTCTTTAAGATTTTAGTTTTTTAAGTTTCTTTTGTTTATTTAAGTCTGAAGTCTCTACATAATTGTCATTTATCCCTCAACTTATATCTTAAAGTAACCCACACTTTATAAAATAATGTATCATAACGTGCCATAACACACCATAATGCAAGCCAAACCTTAAAGTGAAGTCATGGTGGTTAACGTGACAGTGAACCCAAGCCTTGATAACCGACTAAAAATTTCAAAATACACAAAATCAAGGGCCCGGATTAGTTTGTAAGGTGTGCAAGAAGTTAGAAATTTGATCTATCTAAGTGGCCTAGACTAATTATATTAATAATTATGTTAATATCATATTAGTGATAAATGTTTTATTTAAGTCTTTCATTTATAATTTATTGACATATAGGTCCTCCGACTATCTTGATGGGCGATATTGGTCCTTGTAACCGACTGTAACTAGCTATAAATATGTGGTTATCTCTTTCATTAATTCTCTTGATGCAAAACCGTATGATATAGAAATCGTCTCCTTTATTCTATCATCTTGAATGCACCATTAATTGGAGACTTTAACACAAATATCTAACTCCATCATAATTACTTTGATTTAAAGAGAGTTTTAGTGAGTGATCATGACTTTATCAAGTAAGACAATCCCTGGTATTACTACAAGTTTTCATTTCTCATGTTGTAGATTGAACCGTAATATACATGATGATTCCTTATTATGAACATATAAAACTCAATCCTTTTGCTTATCTGTGTTGTTTAACTCAAAATTTGGTATCAGAGCCTCATGATGTGCAACAGATTAATGCCAAAAAAAAAAGATTTTTAATGCCCAAATGATATTTCACATGAAGAAACCATCAAAACATGCAGTTACTTTAAGCCTTCTTTTTTAATTTATGGCCAGGAAAATCACAAAAATGACCAAAATATACCTAATGTATTAACAAAATAGCCATTTTTTCAACTTTTTACCAAAATGACCACATGGATCGTCCCCAGGGAGCATGTTGACCATACGGGGGCGATTTGACCCATTTTGACCAAAAAGTACAAAAAATCTTATAAATTGATTGGGGGGGGGGTGGGGGGGCATGTATCTGATTTGGGGGACAAGAAAGTTGATTTTTTTGAAAAAGGGGGATCGCCCCACCTATCCCAGGATTGCCCCCGGGGCGATCTGACCCCTATTTTGTCTTCCAGTGCACAAAAATCACTATATATAGCTCATAAAATCTCATTCATATTTCTTTACACCTTACTCCTCACTTCTACTCTCATATCTTCTAAATTGACAAATGAAAAAAAGAAGGTTTTCCTCACTTCTACTCTCAAAACCTTTAACCCTTAAACACAATCTACCATTACAACCCTTAACCATTAACCCATTACACACAATCTACCATCACAATCCTTCACCCTTAAACACAAATATGAAATCACATCAAAGTGATAATGTTTTCATGTATGTTCAAAGTGGCGGTTCATTCTAGACGATAAATGACGCCTAAGAGTATATGCCGTCAGGATCCCCCATACGTGTATTACCTTTGCCTTCGCCAATAACACATTCTGGTTTGTTTAAACATGTTGTAAAAAAGTTAAGTTTGCGTAGTCTTTTCAGGTTATTTTATAAAATTAATTCCTTACAAAAACTATATGAGTTAAGCGACGACAATGATGTGATGATGTTCCAGAACGTTGTTCGTCAAAGTTTACCGGAAATGTTGACACTTTTTGTTGTCGATGATGGTGGTTATGATGGAAATCCGTCAAGTGTCGTAATCCATCAAAGTTTACCCGACGATAGTGGTGCAAACCTATACTGTCCAAACACTTTTACCCTGGTGATAATGGTGGAAATCCAAACACTTTCTTCCCCTGTGGTGTTGGTGGAAATTCATATTTTAAACCAAAAAATTTTGTTGATCATGACAGTTATTTGGTTCAAGATTTGAACCAGTCTC